TTCCTAGAAGATTAATTCCATATGCTTAGAACAAATATGCCTACTTTACTTATATACAGATTTGTTATAAGAGTTTGTCCTTTTATGGTATTTGAAAAACCAAGTAAATAATTTTGCCTGGCACTTAACACAAGTCATAGACATGTTGTGGACAGCTTTAGAGGGTTCAAGAAACATAGTACAAAAACAGGTTTGCCCTTTGCCTGGCTAAGGAAATGTGGCAGCTTCACTGTGATTTTCCAGTTAGAGGTTTGTATAGAAGAACCAACACGTTACTCAAAGAAGAACTAAGAGAAAACCAGAACGTTGCCCATTACATGAGCATGGCCTTGCTCCATGCCAGTGGGATAATTTTCTGCTTCTCAAGTATGTGCAGTAAGTGAGAAATGAATCCACGCTTTCATTGCTCTTGGCAGATGTGATGTTACCGTTATGTTTCAATGTCTCCCAGGCATCAGCAAGAGCCCACCAAGGACCCTGTCATTCTGAACGCCCTTTTGCACGTTTGCAAGACCATGCACGACTCCGTGAAGTAAGTCACGCCTCAGGCTGAAACATAACATGGATTGGGTCTTAATGCCATATAATAAATAGTACATTAGGGAATTGCTGCTTTAAGATGCCACTGTGAATAATATTATTTTATGGGGTCTGTTAAGGTTCTTCCTAATGAGGACATTCCAATCCAGGAGAGGAGGAAGACTGAGGGTAACCTTCCCAAGAAAATGAGATGGTAGATGTTTTCACAGGGGGATTTCTGTCGGGAGAAAAAGGCTGGCTTCATGCATGTGAACTCAAACTCCATGTCTCCTAGAGATTTAAGAGCAGCAGGTAGTGTAATGAGAAGTTCACTCATCCAGTAACACAGCCTTTAAATGTCTTCCTTATTATTAGCCAATTATTTGAAATTTAAATGAAATTGCTTGTATTCCTTACATGAAGGACTTCCTTTGTTCGGTATACTTGAGGCTCTGACCTGTCCATAGGCCTTACCTTTAGGTCAAAGGTCAAATTATCACTCCTTTGCTTTCTGTTTGTTTTCTTCCATTTTACTGTGTTTGAAACAATCCCTGCTTATTTGTGGCTAAAATTTTAGTCCCCAAAGAATTTTTAAACACAGCAGCTTGATTCAATTGGAAAATGTTACAAGAATTGAGAAAATTGTTTTGGAACTTAACCATCAACAAGATGGATTGTATTTCTCTTCTGTTTTTTTTCTCTGAATTTTAGATTCTTTATGTTCATGACTTTGTGCTGTCAACTTCATGGGTAGTTATAAAAATGAAAATATCAAAACTTTTCATAATGGAGCTGATAGACTTCGGCTGGATAAAAACAGAAATAAAGGCACAAAATACATCCTGAAAGGTGGTTTTATTTGTAGGATATTGGGTTTTAGCTTAAATGAAATAGAAATTTATTTCTTTCTTGCTAAAAGTGCGAGACCATAAAGTAGGGGTGAGGGTAGTTGTGCTTTGGAACATCAGCGAAGGACCTGTGTTCCTTCTGTCTTACTGCTCTACTGCCTCCCAAGGGTGTTGTCCTTGGCTTCCCGGTGGAGGCTCGCTTACCTTGACTGTGTCCACTCCAGCCTGTGTGGCATTGGACAACAGGAGTTTTCTTTTAGGGACAAAACTTGGAAGGCTTATACATTGCTTGCATTTACTTCTTCTTAGCCAAAACTGTCAAATGGCCATACCTGGCTACAAAAGGAGCTGGAAAGTGTTGGAGAATTGAAAGGGACATTGCATATGGGAGGACAGGATGGTCTTACCAATACTAGCTTTCCTCTAGAACACACCAAGACAAAAGCTTTGGTTCTTGTTTTCTCTGCATTGTTAGAATTTAAGACAAAATACATTTGGGGAACTATTTATAAGCCTTCACATGTATAATCAAAACTATGAAGACTTGACATTTTCTTATTTATATTTGTGTTAAAGTTGCTGTTAAATAGAGGCAACTAAGATCTGTGGTTCACGTAAAGATGCATCCCCAAAGTAAGATGGATTGGTGGATGGAGAGGGGAATGGCTAATTATGTGAGAAATCAAATATTGTAAAATGACAATGGTAGGACCTTGGTGGTGGATCTATGGGTGTGCACCATGAAATTTTTTCAACTTTGCTGCATGCTTGAGCTTTTTTGTAATGTTGAACAAACTTTCTCTAAAGCACAAAATTTGAAGTTGGGCTTTGCTGCCCCAGTTCCAAAGGAGAGGAAGTTACCTTCTTTTGCTATTAATATATGTATCTTGAGAACAGCATCTTTGAGAGATGAAAAACACATTTAAATTGTTACTTTGGATTACATATGTTTATCCAAAAAACTGTTGGGGAGTTTATTTAATCTAGAAAATACAGAATGTTCTTACCTATTAAATTGCTAACTTCTTCTGTATTTTTTTTCTTTAGAAACTTTCATTTATTATTTCAGTGTTAATTATATACAATTATTGATTTTAGTGCACTCACGCTTGAGGATGAGAAAAGAATGCTGGCCTATTTGATTAATGGATTTATAAAAATGGTAAGTATTGGGAAAGAAATTTCAGTGGGCTTGGAAATGTGATGTAATTGTTTAGCCTTTTTCTGGCAAAAGTAGTTAACGTTATGTTCCTGGTGCTTTTCATTTTTATTAAGATGAGATGAAATGAGAAAACATCTTACATTAGCCAGCACTGTCCAGGGAGCAGAGAGAGCCAGGACACACTGGCTAAAGGAGGAGGTTAGGGGACCCACCGGCTCATGTAACAAGAGGTCCAGGGATGGAGTGCTGCAAAGCAGCAGCTGGACTTGGGGACTCTGGAGTGTCTCAGGGCCTGTGTGTGTCCTTGGCTCTGGCTCTGTCCTCCTGGCATGCTCCCAGGCAGGCTCCCTCCCCGCGAGAGCTCCAGGCTCCATTCCTTCCAGTTCTGTAGCCCAGTAGGAACATCCTGGGACTGAGTTTCTGGATTAACTTGGGTCATCCGCTCATCCTTGAACGGACTGCTGTTGTTTGGGAACAAACATACCAATAGGCCAGGCCTGGGAGACATACGCACCCCCAGGTAGCTCGGATCACATGGGCTGGGCGTGGGAGAAGGGGCCTGTGAAGCACCCAGAGTGCTGCTCACCAGGTGGTGGAAAGGATGCTGGGGTTAGGGGCAGAATGCCAAAGTCCGCTCACCATCCATTATGCTTACTCATTGTTGCTTAACAACTACCCCCAAAACTTAGTTTTTAAGCTTTAAATAACAGCGTTTTTTAATCCTTATAATTCTGTGGGTTGGCGGGTCACCACGTTGCTCTGTGTGACAGTGGCTGGTGGGACAGGAGGATCCAAGCCCGCCTCACTCAATGTCTAGGGTCTGGGCTCAGGCTGTCAGCTGCAGGGCCTCATTTCTCACCTGACCTGTTGCTCTCCACTGTTCTCTCACCCCCCGTCTTCTCAGCCGAGCTCTTAGGTGGCAGCGGCACGAACAGAGGCTGTGGGGCCTTTTAAGAGGCAAAGATTCTGACCACACAGTGACCAGCACTGCACCCTGCTGAATTCTGTTGGTCAGAGCAAGTCACAGGGCCACCCCCTTGGAGCGGATGGAAAGTAGACTCCTCAGGATGGGGAGAATCCACAGGGATGTTGGGAGAGGACAGGCAGAGAGGGAGGGACTGTTACAGCCTCTCTGGGGAACAGCCACCATTCCATACAAGCAGAGCAACCTTTGCCTTAATTCTTGGTGCACAGAACTAAAATACCAATGCTGCTGCCATTATCCATTGTTTTAATGGAAATGTCAAGACAAAAGCTGGTCAAAATTAAATTACATGACCTTGAAAATATGACTCATACACCAGCGGGGTCAACTTAACTGTCCCCCTGATTCTGGTAAAATCAATTTTGATGCACATTCAGGATTAGCTTTGCAATTCCCAAGTTAGGAAATGTACCTATAGCTTTTACCAGGTGACTCTCCTGTGCCCTTGATTTATATGCTGATGATAAAAATTATCTTTTTATGGTTTTGTCTGAAAGCCACTGAGTTTTAATGGAAAAGAATAAGAGGAAATAAGCTGTGAAACCTGAGAACTGTAAAGAGAATACTAAACTTCCTCTGGGCAAAAATGATCACCATAGCAGTAAAGCTTGTCATACTAACCAGCTGTTCATAATTTTAAAGGAATAGGAGAAGAGGGGATTTTTTATTGCTGGAGAAAGTTCCATCTGTGGCTCCAGCAGCCACCAGCAAACTGCTGAGTTTGGAATCCCCATCAGGAAGCAGAGAGGTGTGGCTCTTTTTAGGGAGCTCCCTCTGACAGATGTCTCCCAATAATCATCCTGATATTCTGTGAAAAAGCCACAGCTGATAAACAAAATTCCATTCTTTCTTTCCCAGTGGTTTCCTTCTAGCCTGGGGAATCCTATTTACATTTTGAGATTCTGTTTTATACCCTTTGGTCTTTTTATTTTCTCCTCCAATGCCCATGTCATATGTCATAAAGATGAGGTGGTACTAGTACTGTTTGTTATATGCTGGGTTAGCATATAATCCAGTGTGTGTGCATGTGTGTCGGCTTGCGTAGCTATGAAAAATTTCCACCCATTCACATTTGTGGGATTTTTGGTGACTTGTAATCATAGCACCTTTGCCACCGCACAGAGCTCAGGAACAACCTTCTCAATTGTGTGCTCACCGATGCCCAGAGAGAACATTGTCAGCCTCTTTCCCCTTGTCTCTAGGTTTCTTTTGGCCGTGACTTTGAACAACAGCTGAGTTTTTATGTTGAGGCCAGGTCAATGTTTTGCAATCTGGAACCTGTTCTGGTGCAGCTAATTCACGTAAGGATTTTCATTCATTTGTTCTCTCAGTATTCATTGATTATATGCCAGATGCCAATTTTAATCTGGAATTCTTCTGGCCCCATATTGCCCCTTTTCTTCAGGGTATGGAAGGTGGTTTCTCAAAGTAATGAAATCCAGAGCTTTGCTTAAGGCTTTGGATGCTTTTTATTGACCTCTTCTTCTGTGAGATTTGCATACTCTGATTTCCTGTGCCCCAACAGCAAGTCAGTCATGCGGATAGTTACAGAAGTGCTAACCCAGAGCTCCTTATTGCCTGGTCAGACTTCCACCTTGGAATCGTGGCTTCTTTCAATGAGTTTTCATGGTGCACTCAGGCCAAACGACACAAATAACAGTTCTGTTTATTAAGGAGTCGGGCTCAGACAATGTATTTTTGCTCTAACATGCAATAGCCCTTTGAAACAACAATATATATAAACTGAAAGAAAAAGAACATATTTTTATTTCACTCTTAGCCATAATTACTTACTAGTGAAGTGTGTGTACCCATTGGGCACTACAACGTCTCAAACCTTAGAACTAGATTGGACACCACTGCCCTTATTTCCTGGTTCATACCAATCATTTTTTCCATGCTGATTTTTCTACAGTACTTGTCTTTTATCACAGTAGCTGCTGAAAACCCAGCTTCACAAAGATAAGATGTCACTGCAGGGACTGTAATGCAGTCTGGTCTCACATTGGTGCTTTGCACAGCATTCGACAGCTGAGCATTACTGTTTTCCTAAAAAAACAAACCAAAAAAAAAAAATAGTGTCCCTGTGGGTTTGCTGCAACACCCCGGGGTGTCTTGGTACATCGTTTGGGAGCCATAGGTCCATACTTTCCATATTAGGACAGATTCTCTTAAGGCTCCTTATTTGCTTCATGTAAATTGAAGGAGCTACCCTTTTATATATTTGTTGGTTGTTGATCAGGTGATAGTGTTTAGTAGCATTGTTAAACTTTAGACTGAAATGTGGAGTCGGGGGAGATAATAGAAGGCACCTTGTAGGGTTGTGAGGATTTAATGACCTAATGAATATACAGCTCATAGAACAGCACCAGGTGGGCTGTAACTGATGGGGTGACAGCTGCTACTCCTGTTCTTACAGTTATTGTTGAATGTTGTTGTTAGCTTGGCATAGCTGGATTGTACAGTCTGCTCTCTGATTTGGAGGTTTCTCTTAAGATCTCTGAGACCTTAAGCTTAGTATGTGGGATTTCTGGAAATGGAGTTAAGTAAACCCTGGGTGTTCATTAAACCAGAAAGTGATCATTTCTAATGCCGGTTGGTAGGCATGATTAACTCTGAGTGCCTTTTGTTCTGTCTCTTGGAGCTGTTTGTACAGGCTGAGATTGAATCAGGCCTGATGACTCCTTCAGCATTTCAGTGTCCAGTGCTGGCCAGTCTTGGTCCCACTTAGCTTGTTCTTAGACTTGCATGCAGTCAATGTCCAAATCTCTATGAAAGACATTAATTTGAGTCAGCCATCATGTTATGACCTTTCTTTCTTATTTATCAACAAATCCAGAGTGTAAACCGGTTGGCAATGGAAACAAGAAAAGTAATGAAAGGAAATCACTCCAGAAAGACAGCTGCATTTGTCCGGGTATGTTCTAAAGACAAAACTCAACAGACTTTGAACTCCAGTGGGTTCGTTCATTTGCAAGTTTCTAAATTGCTATTTCCAGAAAATGACAGGTGTGTCATAAGGTGGTTTAGTACTGATTTTCCAGATTTATTTCTCCTTGAATATCTATGGACTGACCAATTTTCTCAATGTTTTGAAAAGAAATGATCAAAAGAGTCTGAACTTTGGTATGTATTACAGGGAGGTGGGTGAGAGAAGGACTTGCAGTTTCGTCTGCCAGCTGAATTTTCTATATAGCCTGTGCCTGTAGCTGGAGGGCCTAATACCTTTTCCTCCACCTTGTTAAGTTCTCAATTTTGTCTTAGAAAAAAAAATTTGAGTATGCTACTCAAAATTTATCAAAGCAATTCCTATCCATGTTTTTAAAAATGAAATTGGAGCAAAAAGATGACAGTGAAACCTAAGCACCCAGGCCTACCCTTTTTCTCCTGAAACCTCTTTGCTTAGAGCCACCACTTCGGACTCCTTTTTAGCAATTTCTTTTTCTAATTATCTCCATATTTTTAAGTAATAGGTTTAAAGGCTGCTTTTTTAACCAATATTAGGTATTTCCTATTTACCTCCTGCAATGGTGGATGAGCATTTATTTCTTGTACATCTTATGATCCTCACCTGTTCTCCTCTTCCTCCTCCCCCCAGAGTCAGATACAGCAGAGGCAAGAGGGCAGAACTGGGGCTCAGAGTGGGAAGTTAATCATTTCAAGTGTTTTTCACTTGAAAATACATGATGGGTGAAATAGTCTTGACCCACCGTGACGGCACTGCCAATGTAACCTGCTGCATTTCTCCCTTTTCTTCCAGGCCTGCGTCGCCTACTGCTTCATTACCATTCCCTCCCTGGCCGGAATCTTCACCCGCCTCAATCTCTACTTGCATTCTGGTCAGGTTGCCTTGGCCAACCAGTGCCTGTCCCAAGGTAAGTGCCTCTCTTCTCAGCACCTCCCCCCTGCTCTGCTTCACCGCCCGGCCCCTCAGGACAGCCAGTGTGTGTGTGTGTGTGTGAGATGCCTTTAAGGAGGAAAGAAAAAAAAGAATCGATCAATAAATGATGAGCTTTAAGTCTGTTTCTTTAGTAGGAAGCATACTGGACACACACACATTTATAAAATCAGGCAGATTACACAGTGTGGCTGTTTTCCTGTAAGGACCTTCTTAAATCTGTCTCAGACAGGCCAGCTCAGGCAGCTCAGACACTGCCAGGCTAAGCGTGCCTAGAGAATTTTAAAGTTGAGGCTGCTTCATCATTCATTAGAGCAGATTCATGTTTATTTTTTGTTGGTGTTTGTTTAAAACTGCAGAGGCACATGAGTAAAATCTAGTAAGTGTAGAATGAATACTCTGTACAGCTTGCTGTTTGGGATAAAAATTCTTCTCAAGACCCATTTCTGTACCAGGCATAGGAGGCATCCCTGGATGCAAAGAAGTGTGCATGTAGTTTATTTGGGAGGTGATCCCCTGAGTGTCAGGGGGGAGATGGGGAGGTGAGACTAGGAAGGGAAGGGAGCCACCAGAGGGTGCGCTGGTGGAGGATACTGCTGTAGGCAGCTGATATGCATCCCTGCTGGGGACCTCTGGGAGGGGGTGGCAAATGGCCTTGGTGTTATGTCACCTGAGGGACAGGGAGGACAGGCCACTCCTCCTTTATTTCCGTCTGTCATTGACTGAGCACTCCTTCTGGGGCATTAGCTCCCTGCCACACTGGCCTGCTCTGCACTCTAGCCAAAAGAAGCCCCCATGCAGTGTTTTGAATCACAAGTGTTTGCCGCGAACAGCCTTGTCACGTCCTGGGAAGGTGTGTGCCACAGAGCCTTGGCAGCAAGGTTATCTCAGGCTGTAGCGTGAGGAGAAAAGAGGTCCTGGTAGCATTTCCGGGGCCTTTGTTACTCAGGGAGGCCTTTGCCCATAGAGCCTCATTCCATCCTCCCAGCAGCCATCCGAGGCCAGCCCTGTGGTTGTGCCTCATTTCTCAGGTGAGAAAACTGAGGCAGGGAGGGGGCTAAGTAGCCCACCTGGGGTCACTTAGCCAGCTCTCAGCCCCTGAGCTGTCTGAGTCAAGGCCAGGCCCTCTTACCACTGTGACAGACAGAATCCATGGTGCCGACAGTTGGGAAGCTGAAGTGCATCATTTGGAGGTCCTGCAGCCCTGTATGAGGTGGGCTGGTGTTTGCAGTGATGGTCTCCCCACCTGATACCACAGTGTTTGCCTGGGTTACAGATGCACTGCTTGCTGCCATAGGTGGGACAAGTACTCTGGGGTGCTTGGAGAGTGGGCATCCCCTGTTCTCTTAGCCCTTTGTGTGGCAGTCCTGGTGTGTTCATCTGTACCTTGATTCATCCGGGGCAGCTCTGGGCACCAAGATCTTCAAACATAATTGTGGCACAAGAACTGAGTCCTAGGGATGCCAGTAGCTTCCCAGCACATTTGCAACTAAGCTAGATCCTTGCCTGTAAGTCCCCACATGATGCAGTGCCTGCCTGCCTTCTGTCTTCAGGGGGTACCACACTTAGCCATATCGGCTTTTTTCTGTTTCTTGAACATACTAAGCTGTATTCTGATTCAGAGACTTTGCACTTGCTGTTCCCTCTTTCTAGGATGATCTTCCCCCAGATATTTGCTTTTTTTTTGCAAACACCAGACAAGAGATAAGAATCAAGCCTCGCCCCTTTAGTGGGGCCTTTGCTGTCCCCTCTGGCTAATGCATCTCCCCAGCTGTCATGCTCTGCACCACCCTGCCTAAGACCATCATGACACTCACTATCTGACATTTTCATACTGTGTGTTTACTTACTGCCTGGACATCCCCTCTCCCCACTAGGACTGCAGGGTCCCCAAAAGCAGGCATCTGTCCTCACTGTAGGCTGGTGAATGTGGAACTTCCTCCTGGTACCTGCTTTGTTGAAGATAGATGATGGGTTAGCAAAAAACAAAGTCAAACAAAAATTAACAGCCACCACCAAAAGCCTGATGCTATGCAAAGTGAAGATTAGATTAATTAATTCAATTAGATTGCTGTTACAAATTGAGAATCTTATTATACAGTGGTTCCCTCTTAAAAAGTTTAGGAATAGAAGACCCACATGGGCACCCCTGAGTTTGGTGTCACCTGAACCATTAGGAACAGTTTGTGAACTGCAGGTAACAGCTCCGAACTGTCACTGGAGGCTCTGGAAGGCTACATCTTTCTTCTGCCAACTTTATAAACTCAGGACCATGACCTTGGTGTTGCACATCCCTGGCAAGCTTATTAGGACTGGACACCATATAGGGTTTCATGCTATATTCATATTATAAAAATAATTTAAAAAAATTCTCAAACTAAGTAAGGGCTCTCCTAGCACCAGGGACTTGCTGCTCTGAATAACTCTCTAAGGAGAGCTGGGTGGGGCTTTTTCCCTCTTGTGATGCCCTCAGTCCACTGAGAGATAAGCGTTATTAGAACAGCCCGGTAAATGGCATGTGGACAGGTGGTGCTCTCGGGGTTAGAGCCCTGCCACTTCGTCTGCTTTACCCCACACTTGAAGCTACTGCAGGGAGAACAGGACTGTGGTGTCTACTTCATGTTTAATAATTTACCTGATGAGTTTTACTCGAGTTGCTAATGCTGTGGCCTAAACCTTAAAAGCCTATTATTGTTCTGAAAGCCACACAAAGCAATTGTTGGCCAAAATAAATAATGCAATCAATTACTAAGAATGGGAAGGCTAAATATAAATTAAAGCTCAGGGAAATGGGCTTTTGTTCACCTCCCTTAAACACCCTCTGTCTAGCTGGTTATAAAACATACCCTCCCCTAATTCATTTTCTGGCCTTCCTGGTCCAGCCTCAGTTATATCTCCTTTCTCAGGCTGTGGCTTTGCCAGGCCTGGGGCTGGGTGACCTCTTGGCCAGCCCACGGGCAGGCAGCCATTACCCCCCAGCACTTCGGAGAAGCCAAGGACACACACGTTTGGTCACATGCTTCTTACCTGGAGGTGGCCTGGAGGTACCTGTTAACCCCTTTTTTTCCCAGCCACTTCACTTAGATAACTCCTTACCTTTGTCCGTCAGTGGTTCCTTCTGGAAGGATATTACCAGATGAGAACAGGAATAGATTTATTTGCCTTTATTTTTATCTTTTTTTTTTTTTCTCTTTGCATCTTCTAATCTCAGAAAGCAGGGTGTTTTACAAAGGAAGTAATGTTTAAGGTGGGCCTTAAGAACATACGTTTATCAGGAGGATGTGGGAAGGGGAAACTGAACAGTCGGCATTCTAGAAAGAGCAGACACCTACAAAGGTGAAGGCAGAGACTGGGGAGGTGTGAAATTACACGACTTGTTTGGCTGCAGCAGGATGTGAGGATGAGGCACTGAGCAGTGGTGACTGTCAAGTCTCCTAGATACGGTGCCCCAGTCCTGACTCTGCCACTTACGAGCTGGGTGCCCTTGGATGAAGGCCTTTTTGTGTCTTGGTTTCCGCAGCTGTAAAGTGGAGTTGAAGGCGGTGGTGCCTGTTGGTTGGGGATTTTAGAGAACTTGGCCTTCTGGCAGGCAGGAGCTGCTCAGTAAGTAGTGTGCTGTGGAGTTTTAGGAGCTGACTCTGTACCATGACAGCTCTGTGGTTCTGGAGTTCTAAAAGCCAGCCTATTTCACATATACAAAACCTTGAGAAATCTGCAGAAAAGCTAATCTTTGCTTCAAGGTTAACCTGCTAAATTATCCTGAAAATAACAGATCTGCATTTCCTCCTAAGATAAAACAATGGGGGGAGCAATTAAAGCAAAATAGTGGTAAAAAAAGAATGGTTGTGTTCTTATCAATGATAATGCTTTTCCCTCCTATAAATTCTCTCCCCCATCTTTTAAGTTCTACATTTTTTAATTGATTTTTTGCATCTTCATCCTCAGAGTTTAGCTCAGGAGCTGTGTCTTAAAGAAAACCATCCTTGACCTCCTCACTCCCAAACAGTTAGATCATGTTATCCTGTAAGACATATTATCCTTACTATGCATGTTACCTTCATTGTCCTTATCACCATTGCTATTTAACAAGTAAATATGTAAAGACTTGTCTGCTTCCCCCGACACCCATCACTAGAGTGTCAGCTCCATGAGGTCCTGCCTGTCTTGTCAGATGTTGCATCCCTGGCTCTTGGTATGTTATCTACCACATGGGTACTCAGTAAACAATGAATGAATGGTAACCATCTGAGAATGGTTGATCATTCTTAACAACATTGATAAATTTAAAATGGTATCAAACCTTTCACAGTATGGACATAACTACTAACTAGCCTTGCTGTTCTGAAAAGAGCCCCATCAAAACCCCCTTATAGTAGGTTTTAAACAATTGACTTTCATATTTGTAGATAAAACAGGTTAGGTTCAAACAAATGCCAAAGCTCATGGACATGTTGCAGGAAGCCATTGTGCTGGTTTGGTACATGAGGAGCACAAGGAAGCAGGGAGGAAGGGCTGCAGCCGGCTGGCTGCTGGGAACTGTGACCACTAATGGAGGCAGCCAGTGGAAGAGAAAAACAACTTTGTAATCTCCTCCTGGAGGGTAAAGACTGTCTTGTGATGGAGAAAAATGGCCTCCATCTATTTCCCAAGTCTTTGGGGTTTATGCTTAAGGTCATACCAGTTCGATTGACAGACCATTGGAAGAATATGTTTGATATGACTCTTTTCTCAAACCTTGAGGCCTCTCCTGTGATTGTGAACAAAGCTGGGTTTTTTTTTCACTTTTTATTTTATTTCTTTTATTCATTTTGTTATCATTAATCTACAATTACATGAAGAACATTATGTTTACTAGACTCCCCCCTTCACCAAGTCGCCCCCACAAACCCTATTACAGTCACTGTCCATCAGCGTAATAAAATGCTGTCAAGTCACTACTTGTCTTCTCTGTCTTGCACAGCCCTGCCTATGCCCCCCTGCCCCACATTACACAGGCTAACGGTAAAGCTCCTTTTCTTTTTCTCGGCCCTTATCCCTCCCTTCCCACCCATCCTCCCCAGTCCCTTTCCCTTTGGTAACTGTTAGTCCTTTCTTGGGTTCTGTGATTCTGCTGCTGCTT